ATAAATGTATATCTGTTATATAATCGACATTTATGAAACAACGCTATGTAAAAATAACATTACATAGCAGCGCATTATACATTTAGAGATATACATACATATAAATATAGAAATAAATTATCAAATTATGTCTTTGGTAACATGTATCACACAAGATAAAATCTATGTATTTAAGTACAATAAACATATATTACGTATAAACTTAAGAAACTTTTAGATTTTTTATAGACATTTTAAAGGACACTTAATCGTTATAAAAATCAAATAGAAAACAAAAAAAAAAGTCTTTTACTCTGAACAAACTTACAGCAAAATTTTAAAAATAATTTGAAACAATGAATTAGCATTGCGAAAGTAACACAAATTCACGTTTGTAATATCGTTACCTCTTATCTTTTTCTTAGACTATTTCACAAAGATAATTACATATAGGTAACAAATTTAAACTCATGTGAACATCAAACACAATACATAACTGTGCTTATAAAAACGAAACTGAATCATATAAGTATAATTGCACAAATGTGAATATTATAAACAATACAAACAATAACAATATAAAAAATACTTATATTGTTACTAAATACTATACTAAATACTATACTAAAAATTTTCAGATTGCAGCTTGTCTTAACGAGAAAAGATTGCTTGAACAGCTTTTTATGGTTTTTGAACTCTAAAATATTTTTCATAAGTAGTATTGCACACTGGACATCGCTTATGTTCCAAACGTCCGATGCATTCAGTGCAACAGGCAGAATGACCACAGGGTACAAAAATATGTGTTCGCTCATTGGTAAAATACAGCGTGCAAATATCTTCGGAAGACTTCTCTCTTCACATATTCTGACAGTTTTGAAGATCCCAATTTACAATATGGAATGGATGTTCTTCAGAAACATTACTGTTATCCAAATACTAATATCCATAATCATCATCCAGCACCTCGTATATTGATTCATCATCTGTAAAATAAAAAAGGAAATTAAATTTGCAATATTGATTATATCTCTGTGTAAAAAAAATTAACTTTGACTTAATATTTTACAGTAACTGTGTACTACTAATTGTAAATCAATAGTGGCAGAATGCACGAGGCTGAACGGAGGACAGATGAAGTTAGGGCACAACTAACCGCCTGTTTTATCACAAATATAGCTTACGCACTGCGCACTCTTTCTTAATTACCTCTGAATACAAAGCTTATCTCTAATATTTAACACTACTGAACAATACTGTTTACGAATATAAAACTAAAACTTAGAAAGTCGATGTGGCTTCAACGACGGTCTTCATAGAAGTGAAAACAAAAAAACGTGGCGCTGCTACGCCGTAGAAACAATCAAAACAATAGAAAACTTTTAGTAATGTAAGAGAGAGAAGAAGGGAACCACATGCCATCTCTCTCTCTTCCAAAGGCCAGAAGAAATCTTCACTCTAACAAATAGTAATAAAATTACCTTGTGAATTGCTGAGAACATTCTCGAAAATAATTATATTGGATAATGTTTCTAATGTTTCGTTTTGTTCTGCCGAAATCGTTTCCTGTGTAGATGCTGTCACTCTGCTATCATTGCATTCAGATTCTGTGTCCTTTTCTGAAAAAGAAAAGTTATTTTTATTCTGCTTTATTTAATATATCTCAAGGAATGTATCTCAAGGAATATGCAAATATTATTACTGTATAATAAATAAAAACTTAAAAAAATTAAAAAACTTAAAAATTTGCTTGAAAAAAATTTAAATTAATGATATTTTTTACCTGTGTTTGCTTCTAAGTTATTGTCTTTTTCTCTTGAATTAGATAATATAATCCTATTTCTGCATTGAGATCTGCGTCTTCTAATGTTAATCTTCTCTGAAATAAAAAAATAACATTTTTTTTTAAATAAATATATTATAAATCCATATATATTGTTATTAAAAAGTTTTAATTTGCTATTGTTTTTCATTTTAATATATTGAAAATAAGATAATTGTTTAATCTCTAAATCTTTAAAAAATTAAAAAAATTTTTATAAACTTAATACTTGCGAGATTCAAAAGAAGTTAATAAAATTTACCTGTTTGGATAGATACGTTAAAGTCATCCGCAAAGAATGTCCTGTCTGCAACTTGTTCGTCACATGACAACGCTTTATTTGAAAGAAAATGTAGTTATATACATGTTTAGAATAAGTTTGTTATCTAATAGATAGTTGCTTATGATTGAATATCATAAAAGTAAAATTGTAACTATTTACGGAACACCTAAATCCACATATTAACACATGTAACAATAAACATGTCCTTTTTATTTTAAATCTTGTCTTATACGTAGATGAAACGTATATTGTGTGACATTGAGAATCAAATGGTTGCATTTATTGTAAAATGTGTTAAAATATGCGGTAAGAAACATAATTCTAATATTAATATAGGTTAAATACCATCAAATGATGCCAATTGTTCAATTTGAAAAATATCATTCCTTCTGTTAAACATCAATAAAAATTGCTTTAATGGCAACCTAAAAAATAAAATAAAATTATTAAAATTGTAAGTTATAGTAATAATCTATTATTTGGTCCAGTGTTTATGCATACAAAATAATACCTTTTTTCAATTAAGTTTTTTTGCGCATTTATATTTTTCGTATTACGCTCTCTATTTGTCCGTGTATGGGTTCGCCGGGGTTGAATATCGTTTTTCAAGCGTCGAAGATCCAATTCTTGATCAGCAATTAAATTTTTAAATTTTTCTATAGAAAAAGATAAATAATTCATATTAATACATAAAATTTAGTAAATACTTAAAAATAAAATAAAAAACAAGTATTATTCTAAAATAACTTTTTATTATTAACATTACCTAAAAATGTCCGAATATTTATGTTCCTTGTGCCTAATTTCTGCGTTGCAATGTTGTGAAAACTTTCCACTATATTGTTAGTGCGGATGGGACAGCCATAAGTGCTAATTTTTGACGCCATATGTAACCAGGTAAGTCTCAAATAAGACATAAATTGTAAGACATTTGGATGCTCACGAGAAAGTAAGTCAGCTTCAGCTTGTATAATAAGCAAGGCTTCGTGAAACATATCTGCTGGTAGCAAAGGCAATGTTATTGTCATTAAAAGTATAGTTTGTGGAGAAAGCTCTAATTTTTGCCATTTACGCAATACAGCCTAAAATATAAAAAAAAGATGTAATATTAATTTAATGTGTGTGTGTGTGTGTGAATATATTTAATTATAATAATATATAAACATATAATAAATATATAATGAACCGAACCTGATTAAAATAAAACCAACATCCACTTAATTTCGCTTTGGGAAACTTATTACTCAGTGACTTAATTGTAGCCATTTCATAATCACTTATTATAAATTCAATATTTTGTTCAAGCTGCGGTACCAGCTGCTTAATTTTGTGCCATAAAGCATCATAAAAAGTTGTTGTACGTGCATCACAATATAAATAAAGTTGCAATGCCCTGGAAAGATAAAGTTATCTATTATTGTTACTTTTGGAACACAAATAAATATAAAATTAAATAAATATCTTACCGTATCCATATATCGTATATGTACTGAATAAAGTTGTGCAATGTGTGGTGTGCGAGGAAGAACCTTGAAAAAAATAAATACAATTATTTTTTTATATTTTGATTTAAAACTATATTATATGCAGAAATATAATTTTATGATATAAATATTGCGATATAAATTTTATTAATTACAATAAATTATCAATGAAAAACAGATTTATAAGAAATGTTCCATCCACATAGATTTCAGTAGCTGATGACAAACTTTCTAATAAATCAGTAGTTGATAAAATGATTGCTACTTTGCCATTACTTGAAGTTACACTCCCTTGATAGATATTTTTTATTACATCAGAATTTTCGATAATATCACGTAATGATGCCAATGTCTCGGGTACAACTGGTCTGACTTTAACGCGTTCACGATGCATAGAACATTTTATAGATGGAAAACTCAAATATTGCCCAACACTTGGATTACTAAAAATTAAAAAAAGGTTTCTAAAAATAATACAATATAAATAAAGTAACCAAAAAATTTGAAGAGAATATAGTATAGGTTCGAATGAAAATTGCTTTGGTTATGTCGATAGTGTTCATTTAATAACCATCACATATGCCTGATTTCCTTGGAATTACTAAATATTTTTAATCAAGTGCGTCATATTGGCCTCATTAAACCTAATGAATCAAGTGTTAATAAAGAAGTGCATCGTTTATAAATATTTATATGAGTATTGATAAATCTTAAAAAGCAGTAATATTTTACAATACTCTTTAAAAACACAATTGTTACTTCTTTATTTAATAGTCAAAATATATAAATATTTATAAACAATAAAGTTAGTCAAAAATGTTTATTAATCCTAGATCTAATAAGTGATTAGATATATGTAAAGTACACATATGTACAAATGATGCATATGTAAAACATTCTTACCTTCTACATACTGAATCAAATATTTCCTTTAGATCCTGACAAGTCTCGCGAGAGAGTTTCAACATTTCTTCTTTCATTTGATGTTGCAATACGATGAATGGTGATTTTGCATGATTATGCGTTTCTAAAATTTCTACATTATCATCTCTAATGCTTATTGCACCTCGACATTTGGTTGTCCGGCGTGTATTGCATCGAAAAATATAGTCATTACGATTATCCTTGGTATAAATATAATCATCATGAACGTAAAGAAGCGATCCTTTTTTTTCCAGATATGACTTTCAACTGTAAAAAAGAAATAATTGCCTAATTATGTACATATTTCAAATTACAAATTCAATCGATTTTGTCAAAATAAAAGTGATTTTCTAACCAAGATATTTAATGCTTTAATTGTACACATAAATATAATAGCAAAAACTTTTTTCATTGTAATATAGATACTTACACTAGTAGCCATTTTGTAGGCAAAGGAGTGTATGGTTTGCAAGGAAACGATGTTACTTCTTGCAAACTTTTTTAGAATATTAAGTTACAAAAATAGTTTAAAAAACATAAAGAGAATAACACGAGCAAATCAAAACGACATGAGCATAATTGATACGACATGAGCAGAAACTAATAAGCCCGGATCTACAATAGATGTAGTAAGCTTTAAGCCATAAGAAATTGACCACTCACAGACAAATTATAGAAAAATTACGAAATTGATCAATCACAATCGATAAATTTTTCTGTAGTTTGCCTGTGATTGATCAATATCTTACAACTTATAACTTGTTGTAGTTCACTTATTACTGATTACTGTATTGTAGATCAGGCCTAAGGCCGTAAGCAAATCGACCAATCACAGTTAAACATTCTCACAACATAATAAGAATATTTGACTGTGATTGGTCGATTTGCTTACGGCCTTAAGTCCGTATCAAACTACGCATTGAAGAACGAAATTAAAGATCGAAGATTGGGAATTTGACCAATCAGAAAGAAGTAATATTTGTTTGTTTTTTCCCGATTGGTTAAATTCTCAATTTTCAATCTTTAATCTCAATTTTCAATATGTCGTCTGATACGGGCTTTACGGTTACGACTAAAATTTTTGTACGTGTCGTGGCTTTTAGTCGCTATTGTTTTAAAAAATGCGGCTAATGTAGAACAACCTAAATTCCTAGTTTTAAGAATTAGAAAAGGATGAAGAGCAAATTGAACCGAAATTAAAGTTAACCTATGTTGGTAGAAACGGCCCTTATTAATCTGAAGGTGCAATTTCACGCAGCGAGTAAAAGCTGGCGTTTTACCCCCTCTCCGCCGCCACGCAAAGCAGCGTTAAAAAGCTGTTCGCTATCACCTCTATCTTTTTCATGGAGCTGAAAGTTCTCCGAGTAGTTTTACTCGACGACAAACGGCACGAAACGGCTGGACAAAATCCGTCTAGTCCTTTGACAAATAACTTGTAACGGTCGGAGCACCGAGATCGCTCGTTCAAAATGTCCGTTAAGCGTAGTAATTTAAACCACGTGCTCCGATTGGCTACTGACTGCAATATTCATGTAATCGAGGTGCATAAATAAAACACTTCATTACTGGAAATATAAATGACCTTTATTCTTTAGCCTTAATACACGAAATACTGTTGGATGGCTCGATTCGACTAGAACTAAATCCACGGCTTATTCGACGACTCTTATTCGACTAAAAAACGCGACTGATCTTAATGCCGGTTCTGTACAGAGTGTCTCTCCGGATTTCGCTCCGGATAATCTTGCGGATCCGGAAGATTCCAGAACGTTGTAGAACCTTCGGCGGATCCGGTAGCGCGCGCATGGATCGATTAGATACTTCGATTACTCGAGAATCGATGTATTGCGATTCGATGAATCGCCTGGTGCCTTATGGGCGCCGTCTGTCGGTCGGCCGTATAAATATTTTACAGCTCGGCCATTCTGCCAATGTACTACGTCCCATTTGTAGTATGCAGGCGCTACGTTTAGTTCGTGTGTGTTTATTGTGCATGTAACATCATGCCGTATCGGTAAATATCTCTGATATACAAACTCATAATTACATCGAAATCTTAATTCTAATCGCCACTTATTCTAACGCAATTTATTATCTATTGTTCAATAATACGGTCTTTTAATTAGGAACGTTTGCGGCGGGCGCGCATTCAGCCCACAGCTTCATTCGCTCGCTCGACAAGATCGTATTCGGCGGCTTCATTTTTACATCGAAATCAGGTATGTCCTTAATTAAGCACGGGCCGATTAATTTCGGTTTTATTTTAACATTTTGGCCGTGCTCGACTCTTGTGTTCCCAATTAATTTGCACTTCCTTTCGTTATAATTCACGAGTTTTCTAAAATTAACCTCGAACTAGTCTCGATATTTCTTATCACAGGTACGAATCGAATCTGTCGCCTCGAGTGACGTATCACGTGCGGCAGTGCGGTCTCGCAGCAGGTCCGTATCAACGTCAATTTGGACCTGTCGCAGACGTATCGACGGAAAATCTGCGTGTCTACGCTGCTCGAATTCTTTAACGAGGCTGCAATGAGCCTTATCTTTATGATGGGCTCTTAATGAACTCTCTCCCAACGAATCAGGTACGACGTATTTATCATAAACATTTTCTAATTTCTCTTCTTCTAATTCTTTATATGAAATAGACTTATCACTGTTACTAATTTCTAACTTATCTCTAAAATCTTTTCTAGGATCCGTGAGCTGCCGCGATTCCAGCTCGCGTTCTACTGGAAATTCGCTTACATAGCCGACGCAATGGCTAAGTGCATCTTCCCTTGATCCTGTTCGACTGCTTTTTTTCCTGCGCATCAAATCGTCCGCAATCGGTACGTTTTTATAATTCTCGAAATTCCTATTAATATCTTTTATATGTTTTTTATTTTGGTCATCGAAATCAATTTCACTATTGTCTATCTGTTCTAGATATTCTGGCGAGACATCGGCATCGTTTAACGGCAATCGTGGTAAAAAACTAACATCCCATTCCGGCTGGTTATCAGCCGACTTATTGTATTCGATTGTAAGTTTATAATTTTTAATAAAATCTCTACCGAAAATTAAATCACTGTCGAATTGTTCATTCAGTACGTGAAAGTTAACTGATAGAATTTTATCGCCTAGCTGGCTTAACATTATTTTAATCGGCGTGACTCCAAGAATTAACAACGGCATATTTCCCAAATTAACTAATCTTTTAACTGGCGGCGTTAAATCATGCGAGAACGGTTCGACAAACTTGACAAATACATTTTTCTTAATAAACGAAACCGGACTACCGGTATCTATCAACGCTATTAAATCACATTTACGTTTACAGATGCTCGTTACTTTTACCAACGGCCTGTCGTGATCGAATTTGGCGCCTTCCTTGTCCAGGACCGTAGCGACGACGGTGTCTGGCTCAACTTCGTAGGTGGCGTCCTCTGAAACGGCTGCTACTGTCAGCGCTGCTGACGGCTGTCTCGGCAACGTCGGTTTCCCGTCAACTCAACCCTTCAGCGTGGGACAATCAAATTGGCGATGTCCTTTGCTCTTGCAATAAAAGCACGTAATATCGCTTCTACATACTTGATGTGTGTGTCCCTCTTTTCCACAATTCCGGCACGCACTATCTTTGTTCCTTACCGGCACATTCGGCACTGTCTTCTTTTCACTTTCGACACTGCCTTCAGTAATGATTCTCATTTTCGCGAGAAAACTGTCCAACGATTCGTCTGCTACCGAAAGCGCGACAGATCTCATTGAGCTTTGCGTGATTCCACCAATTATTAGATGGATCGCGTCTTTTACCGGCAAGTCCATTTTATTAATGAGCGCGAGTTTAGCGATCGTATACTGATCGAAAGTTTCTTTTTGCGCGTTCCATTTACGCGCTTCGACCTGCTGTATCGATTTATAAAACGGTACTTTTCGTTTGAAAATTTTCAATAGTTCAAGACGCAGGCCTTGCCACGACTCGATTTCCGGTCCCGACTGTATGTCGTACCATTGGCGCGCGAACTTGACCAACTTGCTCGACGCGGCAAGCAAGGTCACACCGTCCGTTGTAATATGTATTTGTGTCTACTCGACGCACCCACACCGACACACACTCTTCTTCAGATCCTCCGAATTCCGGGATTTGCGAGGCAAGCCAGGAAATTACGTTTCCTGCTGGCAGCCCGATCCCGATACTCACCAATTGCATCGGCTAAGCATGCGCAGAATTCAAGGACGACACCGCAGAGTTCGTCCTGTTCGAATTTTCCAAATTGTTTATCGAAGCAACTGGCTCCTCGGCTCGGCTTGCAGGTGCAGCGGGTCTCGCTGCCTGCAATTGTTGCATCATTTGCAACATAAATTGCTGTTGCTGCTGCTGCAGCATCGACGTCATCTCCGTGAAGATCTGTCGGAATACCCCTGCGGTCAGCGGTTCTGCAACCGTTGACCGCGTGGCGGCCGACGGCACCGTCCCTTCTCCGAACGCACCGTGCGACTCTGCCGGTGCATCCGCGCTCCTGGATTTCTCCAAATGAGCCATAATCAATTTTATGAGTACCTCACGGTCCTTTGACAGCGGAAGCTGGTTGTGCTTCGCGTAATTTTGGAGCTGCTCCAATGTGGCCTTCTCCAGATCGGCTTGCTCCATCTTTGATCTCGTCTTCGGCATGCTCCTCTTCTGCACTTACTCGACACAACAGAGTTTTTATTATTGACTCGATGCGGACTTGCAGAGCCCGTTTTTAATTTCGACACGACACGACGCGGGTTTTTATGAGCCCGTACTCCTTTCGACACGACACGACAACGTCTTTTCGACTTTACCTTTTCCGACACGACGCGGGTTAATGAGCCCGTAATCCCACTTCTGATAAACTGAAAGTTCTCCGAGTAGTTTTACTCGATGACAAACGGCACGAAACGGCTGGACAAAATCCGTCTAGTCCTTTGACAAATAACTTGTAACGGTTGGAGCACCGAGATCGCTCGTTCAAAATGTCCGTTAAGCGTAGTAATTTAAACCACGTGCTCCGATTGGCTACCGACTGCAATATTCATGTAATCAAGGTGCATAAATAAAACACTTCTTTACTGGAAATATAAATGGCCTTTATTTTTTAGCCTTAAGAGGATGCTGAAGTCATATTGTTATCGACCGAAACTTCAATTTTTTAAAAAGGGTGGCGTTTTTTATTGCTTTAATAGAATTACAAATCCTTTGGTGTAAATAAAGTACATGCTAATCTTTCGGCAGTTGGTCAAATTTAAACCAAAAAATAAAAAAATTTTTGAAAATTTACCGACAATGTCACCTCAAAGAATTAGATCTTTTATATCAAAATTATACTGCTTCAATCTGCAAAACAAGACCATGTGCCGAAGAAGAGCGTATAAAACAATAATGGAAAACCAAAAAAATAGAGCTTAGAGACTTATTTTCAAAACGCCATCCTTTTCCAGATTTATGTAAAGCATGTGTGCAATATAGAAAGAATAAGGTAAAAAAGAGCTATAGATTAGTTCCGAGATTTTGGGATAGAGGCGCTATACAGTTCTCAGTGCTATCTGTCATATACAGAATCTTTTAGGTTAGTTATGTGTGTGTTAGTTGTGCGTGTGTGTGTGTGTTTGTGTTATGTGCTACGAAACCCGGCTGAAAAAAATGGGTTGAAGGCACTCTGAAGGATAAAAAAGTGTATGTATTATACATAAATTTTGCAACATTTTTGCAAACATTTATATTATTTAATTACATACATTCATATTCTAATTTCTACAAAATACTTTTGTTCATGTGCTTTATGTGTATATATTATGTATATTCACATCAAAGTATCTATGTAAAAAGTTAATATTATTTTATATTGTATATATTTTTATAATAAATGTATATGTCATATAACTTATTTATAAAGCATGAAATATAAAGGTATTTTTAGTTTCTTGTATGTATCATTTGTAAAAAATCTTGATAAAAAAACATTAATTTTGTGACTTGCAATTATCTGTTTCAATATATACTTTTTTTAAATACTTAAAACTAGCCTTATTTTATGCGTTTACCTTGGTATCTAAAATACACATCAAAATATAAAATTAATTTCTAGTTCAGTAGAAAAAAAACATTGTAGTCTTACACCAGAGAGAAATGGTAAAATATCATGTATATGTAATAACAAATAAATCACTTTTCCATTGACATTATACACAACTTTGCAGAAATAAATTTATTCTGTGAATTTTGAATGTGTAGTGCAGTTTAAAACACACAGTCGAAATATGTCTATATTTTTGAAATAATAATTCTGATTTTTCATGAATCACAATGGTTTTATAAAATGTTCAATTTTAACCGTTTTTATTGGACTGTACTTTAGACAATATTATATTTTGCCATTTCTCTCTGTTGTAAGACAAGAATGTTTCTTTTCTACTGTAATAGAAATACATTTTCGATTTTAATACGTATTTTAAATACCAAGTTAATCACATAAAATAAGGCTAATTGTAAGTATTTAAAAGAAGTATATAATGAAACAGATTATTGCAAGTCGCAAAATTAATGTTGTTTCTTTTATCAAGATTTTTTTTACAAATGATAGACACAAAAAAATAAAAATATCTTTATATTTCATGCTTTAGAAATAAAAAATATGGCGTATATCATATACATTTATTGTAAAAAGAGTATACAAAATGATGTCAATTTCTTAGAAAAATATTTTGATATAAATATAGATAATGTGGAGCATATAATATACATTATATATATATACATAAAGC